TATTATAATTATCATTGATAATACCTAGTTGTTATCTGAATCTTTTTTTTTATTTTTTAATGACAACACTCATTTTGTATTTCCTCGTCCTAAAGAAAAATATTTGAAATTAGTATACTTGGCAATATTAAAATCTAATTTTGGACGAATAATATTTTTGAATTTAAGTATTTGAAGTCCAGATGAACGGAGTGTAGTGGAACTGCAGGGAAACCCGGAAAACCGCTGGACCACTACTCCGCTCGATAAAACATTAAATACTAATTGTTCCAAAATTAGAATTTAATGAATCGAAACACTCTATTTCGAAATATTAAATTAAAAATGTTCCTATGTTTTCCAAGAGCTAAAAATTATAAAGATAAAAAATACTAAAATAGTATAAGATATACATTTTTTCCAAAGAGGTTTTCCTGCAACAGTGCAACACCTTAAAATTATTTAATATTTGTGTTTTGTGAAACGATCGACAGTGTCTTAAGTTAAATGGATCACTCTGTATATAATATTATTATACAGGCATATTATATATTTCATATATACATATTATATCATTATTTCCACGATTGGTCTACTGTTGCGATATTACACCACTATCACTACAATAACAATGATGACGTCGATGACGATGGTGACGACGATAAGTCCCAATAATATAATAAAAATAATTGGTAAATATAATATAATATAATAACCTACGATATTGGTTTTGTATATTTCGTATCAGCTATTATTATACACAGAACGCAATCAGCTTTTAATGTTTTATCATACGGCGATCGACAGTGTACTATGTGGAGGTAGGTACTCATAGATGGGCAAGGGGGACGAGGGGGCAGAAACGGAAAGTTTCCAGCCGAACGACGGTGTGACAATACGCGGATATTATATTATATTATTATGCACATAATATTATTATTATACTTGTATTTGTATTATTATTATCATTTTTATTGTTATACCACGTTGACCTACTTTTGTATCAAAATATTTTACACCACACATGCGACAATATTAAAACACCATATTATAATAATATATATAGCTACGATAGATGTACTTATTATTATTATTAAAGATTGAAACTGCGGTGTATAAAAGTGAGGCGGTTTGGTGGTTTTAAGTTTCAAACTTCGTCCGAAATTGTTTACAACACATTATGTCATATAGTTTGGTATAAAACTATAAACAGGCATAGCGTAAAACGCTTTTGGCTTCAACCAGTGGTAGATTATTCAGGGGGAGGGTTGCTTGGGATGAAGCATCCGCAGTTCCGATATAGAACTTTTTTTTTTTAATTATAAATTACTTAGATATGACCAGATATGACAAGTAATCACGCATAACTAAAAGTACTAAATTTAGACTGTACCACTGCAGAATAGGTTAAATTTGTTTTTACCCCGAAGTTGTTCATACTTCATAATAAGAACTTAAGAAAATTGTTATGCAAATAGTACCCATCATAAAAAAATCCTAGATCCGTCGTTTTAGACCACAACAGTAATACAACTATAATAAACAGTATATTATTCAATATTGGTAAGTAATCATAATATATAAATTGTACGTGAATGGTAAATTACTTGAATATAATTATATATAGTCGGGCTTCGAATTTAAAGTTATAACTTTTAAATTTATATTTATATTTCATATATTATGTATACATAAGGCCCCTTGAGTGCAGGATAACTATATCGAATGTCGATGTTCGTCTCCACCCATTGTCCCAATGTTCAACAGCTAGACTTAGGAGCCACTGAATCATCCCCCGAAGTATTCGACTTTCAAAACAAAAAAAAAAGGTGTAAATTTAAATTAATATGTTTAAATTGTTTTAAGGCAATATTTAGACAAATCGATATGTTACACCCTCAAAAATATTCTACTCTATCGTTTTTGTAATGAGTGGTTTTACTCAATATTATATTTTTTCAATTTACTAATATATTCTGCATAAATGAGTTTTGTTTATGTTAAACATGGGCCAGAGAGAGATAATAAACAATGCTCTGACATCCTCTTAATTTGAAATTCTCAGACGAATACATATTATATAAATGATAAATTAATATAATTGTATTCATCCACAGCTGCAGATTTCACGGTAAACTTCAAACAAACAGTAATCTCTCCATCGCCTAATTGAACCTCCGAAAAGCACAATCACCGATAAGAGTATAAGACTGATGAACTGCTGCAAAGAGTAACCAAGCAGATAGGTACATACAAGTCAAATATATTAGATAGGTATACATAGTATTAGTGACAGATATTCCATGGTTAGAGTGTATTCTTCGATGCACCTTCAAATTTGGGGTGGTTCTGCATTGGGTGGATCGTAATAATATCCTACTATGTAATTTTCTGATCAATTAAAAATAACATAACATAATATAGTGATACCGATATTCTAAGCGCGTGTCGGCATAGATATTATATTCTTTAATATCAATTATATTGCCAATGTGTTTACCCCCCCCCCCCCCCCACCCTTCCGGAACACACATTCACTCTCAATCACGATATCTCATTATTAAAATTTAAAACTCGTATTTCTTGTCACATACTTCACTGTAACTACCATATGATACATTCAAGTAAGGGTTTTAAAACAAGTTGTTACTTAAGGCCCCTGCAAATGTGTCATTTTTAAGGAGTAGTGCTTAGGCAATTTTATTTCGTTCCATCGATTATACTGATCGTCTTTGTGTGTGTGTAGTAACTAGTAAATGATAATTAGTGTGTGTATACTCCCCTACCATCACCCTCAAACCGCATCAATTTACAATAAATTATTATTTCTAATCTGGCTTATGGTCGCACGCAAACATACGCATGCACAAGTCATTTAATGTATAGATCAAAATATTCAAAACCAATTTATGGACTTGAAGTAGCCGTCGCACTGACAAAAATTAAGGTATTTCTAGTGGTTAGATTTAAAAAATGTAAAGATTTTTGTGTTGGTAAACAAGTTTACTTTGCATCAGTCGGAGCACTTTTCAATTTTAGCAAATTCTTGACAAGAATAAATATTTTACATTTTATAAATTTGTAAATTGTTAGTATTGAATATATTCAAAAATATAAAAAAATATGCTCTTACCGATGCAAGACTTATTAGATGTAGTCTTGTTGACCAATTAAAACATCTTTACATTTTTTAAATCGAACCATTTGAAGTACTTTAATTTGTGTCAGTCGCTAAGGTCGTTTTGATGAAAAATTAATAGGGTTTGCAGGTTAGGTTATTACTTCTTTCTAGTCAAGTAACAATGACTTACAAAATAAAATAAGGTACTTATCAACAAAAAATTAGTGATATCCCAACAAAAACACAACAAAAAAAAGGCTCTAAAAGTTGTGATTTCATTTTATAGCTTAGTCGTGAGATAGGTATAATAGTTTGCTAAATAACTGAGCTTAGCTTGGCGACTTAAGTTAAAAATGTAAAAATACTATATAGCATAATGAGTACATATAATAATATAGTCTACTAGGTATCATTTAAATAGCTGGTAGTGTTTACTAATCAAGTGTTCTAAGGTCACCAAGCTAAATTAAATTATTTAGCAGACTATTTTAACATAACCGATAATATCTATAGTTCAAAGACTTAGCTATAAAATGATATCAGAACTTTTAGAGTCGGTTTTTTATTATTTTTTTTTATACACGGAGTTTGGTGGAGTATTTTTGTTAAAATAATATAATACAGGAAGATGTTAAATCATTTATAAATGTGTGAATTGTAACTACAAATGTAATTGTTTTTACAAAAATGAGATACACGAACTATTGCGGTAAACTGCGTAAGAGGTTCGTATGTATTATTAAAACATGTTTTGTATTCAAATTGAAAAACTTTAAATTAGGTACCAAATTTGTTCTAGTATTCCAGAAAAGTAAATTTATATCGGTAGGTACCTACCTGGAATATGGATTTTTCAACTTTTCTGAACTGAAAGTCTAAGAACTTTTAAAATGCGATTGCCTTAGGTTAGGTGTATATTGTATACATTATACATAATATTATGTGTGTCAAAAATATTTTTGCCATGAAACTTCGATGAATTACTCAATATTCATAAAATGTCATACCTATAGTCATTTGTGAATTATTTTTCATTATTATATCATTATTTAATTATACAATGATAAAATATTTTATGAACAGTTGAATACATTAAAATTTAAAATATATAATAATTTATATTGTTGACAAATAATCATTATATTTTTAATAACAAGAATTTTCATTGGGGGAGGGAGGCTATATATTCATCATTTTTAAGTTAAATCTGAAGGTAGTGTCTCCCGTACTAATATTACACATACAAAAGTGGGCAAATGGGTGCTGATGTGCTGTACAGTAGGTGTCTAGATAAGTAAATTTATAAATGTATTTGTTGAAAAAACAGTAAAAAGTTTTAAATTTCTATTAATAGATCAAAATGAGTCAAAATATTTTGAAATTTTTCAATGTGTAGAAAATAATAAAAATGAAAAAAAATTGGTGAAAATGTCAAGTACCAACCTACCTACGGTTATTAGTTTCTGAATTACAACAAAATAAGAAAACTCCTATGAGATTTTGTTAACTTACGAGTCTAATCCAATGTCTAACTGCAGCCGCTCATAAAAAAATTTTGTGGATCTACGCTCAACTTTTATTTTAATTTTCATTAACAACAACTTATGCAAATCCTTGTATTTATAATAGTAATTACCTAAGAGAATTATCAACAAAATGGTGCCTACCATAAAAAAATTCTAGGTCCACCACTGCAGGCTATACAATAACTGCAGTAACATGTAACTAATACGCAGTCAATCATTATTTAATTATAAAAATATAAAATCAGTGTACGAAAATGGTAAATTACTTGAATATTATTATATATATAACAGTACTTGGGTTAAAAATGTAAACTTATTTTTATATTAAATATATATATTGTGTACACATAATGCCATGAGGGTACAAGATATAATTATGTCGAATGTCGATGTTCGTCTTCACCCACAGTCCCAATGTTCAACAGCTTGAGGTGCCGCTGTATCATTCTCCCTACGTCCCGCTCATCCGCGTCCACCTGTAATTACAAACAAGATATTTCCATTGATCTCATTCACGGTTTGCACACAATAAACGTCATTATATTAAAGTACGATTTCGCGTTAGAAACCAAATCGTTCGAATAGTAATCATCTGAGACACAATAACAATACTGTTTTTCAAGACGCGTGTATACCGCAGTATTATAATGCTATAGCCTTATGCCTACATATATAATATTATACAGACTGATTCACCACAAGTATGCTATTTTTTATACTATGTATATTTAAAAATATTTAAAAATTTTGAAAAACTGTACCTATAACTGTATAATTGAATAAAATAGAGATTTCAGATTTCGAATGACGAATCACTCTGTATATTTATAATGAGAACATTGATTAAGAAGCCACAGCAGGTAGGTATAATATAGAATATGTTGAGGTTAACACTTAACGGTATAACTTTTCTTTCTTAATGAGTATACGATAAAAAAAATCTAATTTTCCCTGGCTAATTGAAATAGTTTACACAACAATTATTTTCTTGAATTTGAGATAACTTTTTTATGAACATTTAAATTACATATTTTCTGTACGAAACCCGTTCTAAAGTACTAAATATTTTTTTTTTAAAAATGACTAAAGGATCAAATAAATTATGCATGTTCCGCGGATAAGGATGATTAAAAGCTATATATATATTTGCTGTTAGAAGCACTAGGCGTTTTATTAGTAAATTCAATTTTCCTAGTGTCTTGAAAAGAATAACTTCCATTAAAATGATATTATAAATATTTTTACTAAGCAAAACAAATGCAGTGAAGCTTACCCCGTCTACTTCTAGTTGAATTATGTCAGGGTACTTATTATGTTAAAACGAGTCTATAAAGCATTAAAGTCTATAAATGTATTTTTCTGGTGTAAGTTGGTGAATTAGATTTATATAAAAGATAAATATAATGATAAAAGGGGCTTTACATTTTAATAATAATAAAAAGAAAAAGGACCTATATTTTATTTTTAATAAGATGTCTAATGTTTAGACGTTATTTACAAAAAAAATATCTCCAAAGACTCTTAGGAGTCTGGACCTCCTTATTCAAAGTTGGTTTCCTCTTAACGTCTACTTGAGTGGTAAATATTACCTGAAAAGTAAAGTGGGAAATGTCAGTTCGGACTATGTTAGGTAATTAAAAGAAAAACAATTATAAAAAGGTGGGTAAGTGGATGTCGCTCTGCTGTACAGTAGGTTACAAGTGGGTCACTGTATAATGGATGCTTTTAAATTTGAATTCAATGATACAATATCATTGTATAAGAAAAACGATTCTGAGCGAAGACGGTATGTTAGTCTAGGTTTAAGACAAATTATATACATATCTATGGTATTAAAAAAAAAATTGACCTAAAATAAATTCCAAATTAATCATATCACAATATCCATTAGGTACTTATAACACGTTATACACCAACAACAAACCCTGATACTATCATATATATATAATAGTACACTTTAGAAGTTTCAAGTAGGTACCCACGAACAGGGGCGGAGTGGGCGGAGTTTGTCGTTTGCGCATCATTAGTACCTCAGGTAAGAAATTTGGTAGGTCGTTTGCGCATCGCAAATTTTAACAATGGAAAGGTACTTACTACCTATTAGTGACATGACCGGATATATTGGTGAGATAATATGTATAAGTGATATGTTATACAAGTACGGAATGCTATACTAAGATGTGGAACTTTTTAAAGGAGTTGTGTGGTTCATTTAATTTGTCGTTCATGCCTAACTTAATGAGAGCCAATTTTGAAATAAGCGCCCATATTGCAATTAAGTTTGTTTTTCCAGAATGCAAAATACATTTATTTTTTTTTTTGGTAAATGTGAATATTAATTTTGTAATTTTTTTAAATATGAATTATGAATATTGACGATTATTTTTGTAAGTGTAAATAAAACCTGGTATACGTAATTTGCAATACGCAATCGGCCTATAAAAAGGTTATTTGTAACAATAGCTAGGGAAAACACCCTATGCCTTTTTAACAATAGCGATGCGCAAACGGCCCATATAAAGGTTTTTTGTAACAATAGCGATCGGAAAACACCCTATGCCTTTTATAACAGTAGTGTTGCGCAAACGGCCTACAAAAAAGGTCATACATAACAATAGCGATGCGCAAACGTCCTACGCCCGGAGTGGGAACCAAATCCAGGCCGGGAGTTTAAAATTTATCCAGGCCACCCACCAACATAAAGTATTTCAATCACTATCTTGCTATTCCTTTTAACTTCTGTCTTCTAACACATAATATTAATATACCACTAAGTACCTACTTATTCCTGAAAGTCTGAAAAATAAAATTAGTAGGTATGGTTTAATAGTTGAAATCAACGAAATATTAATAATTATATTATACATTGTGTTTTAATTGTTTAGGTATAGTAGATATAAGGTAATAAGCAGTGTTGTAAAAAATACTTTTTAAAAGTATTTAAGTAATTACTCAAATACTCTTAAAATAAAGTATTTAAAATACCGCCCAAATACTATAAATAGTAAAGTATTTGAGTAATACTCAAATACTTTTCAGAAGTATTTAAAATAATCTTCAAATACAAAAAAAAAAAATCTTTTTACTTTTTAGTTCTGAAATAATTTGTTATAATCAAAAATGTGTTTATTGCATTTTAAAAACATGATTCGTTCAATAATCAAAATTCTGATTAGTCATGTTAGTTGCACTACAACAATGAACTTTTCTCAATAGAGTTATTATATTAATTTAAAGCTATATTATGTATTTGGATATCTCATACCGTCATCGATAAACAATAATGATAATAATTGATAAAAAATTTTCTTGATAAATAGGTAGCCACTAGCCAGTAGGTACTAATAATTATTAACATTATTTTCGTATAGTTAAATAATTATAAACTATAAAATATAATAGCCGTTAAGTAGAAGCTTTTTACATATATATTTTGTTAACTTAAGCTAATAGTGATACCGACTACAGATGTATCTTTTCGATCATCGTCGACAATAAGCTGTCTCCTAGAGAATAAAAAAAATTAAATAAAAGTATTCAATAAAATAGTATTAAATAGTAAAAAAAAGTATTTAAAATACCATTCAAATACTTCAAAATAAAAAGTATTTAAAAAAGTATTCAATACCGAAAAAAGTATTTGAATACTTTTACTCAATTACTTTTACTCAAATACTATACAACACTGGTAATAAGTAATAGATATATACAAACATTGTAAACAATATATAATGAAAAAGATTTATACATTCATAGTAATAATTTAGATAATAGATTAGATTTCTCACCAACTGCATTTATGATAATATTGTTATCTATTTCCATGAGAATTTTATTTTCAATGGCCATAAGCATAAAAGACTCAAGATAATCATTGGTCATTGAATTTCTCAGCTTAATTTTTAAATACTTCAATGTTTAAAATGGGTGTTTTATTATAAAAATAACCGACCTTTTACAATATTACAATATTATATTGCTTTGATTTTATTTGATGTCTATATTTATGTGCCAAATATTTTGTAATTTTATATCCAAAGCTATAATAATTAATTAATTTAAAAAAAAAAAAAATTTAATAGAAACAAACATTTAGCATTAACTAATATTTTGTAAATTAAATTAAATTTAAAAAAAAATCTAACAAAATGGCCAGGCCACCAGGCCATAGTATGGTCCAGGCCATCTGGAAAATTCCCATTTCCAGACCGGCCACTCCCCCCCTGCCCACGAATAATATTATATAATCACAACAAAATAACTAGGTTTTTTAATATGTAATTTCGTCCAAATTTGAACATAAAATGACTATAAAAGTAAACTGTGATTGTATATTTTTTAGATTTTTCGGTAAGAGAATTAACTACTTACTTGGAATCTTGTTTTAAATTTTCAATCCTTAGCTATAAAAACTGAACATTTTATAATTTATTAATTACGATGATTAATAATTTTCGAGATTTTGAAAAATTCTATCAAAATTCGATGTTAAAATGCTTATAAAAAAAAATTGTGCCTATGTATTTTTAATATTTTTCAACTGATATTGTAACAATATATCAGGAGCCTTGTATTAAATTTTTACACTTTTTGGCCCAACAGATAAAACTTAATTGATATTTATAGAAAAAAAAAACTAAAAAAATTGAAAACTGAAAATGTCCGTAAACGGCTCAAAAAGTGTCAAAATATTTTCAAAATTGTAGGGTGTATAGGAAATGCTAATATAAACATTCAGTGAAATTTTCATGTATCTACAGTAATTCGTTTTTTAATTACAACAAAAAAAGGAAATTGCCACATGAGAAATCGAGTGAATATCCAATGTTGTAAAAATTTGAATTTCAAACGCTCATAAAAATTTATTTTGACTTTCCGGTAGAAATTTTTTTATTGATAAAGGTAGACAATTTTATGAGTAATCTTGTATTAGATTTTCAAATCTTAGATTTAAAAAGAAAAATTTTTACGAATTCTTAACTCAAAATAATTTGCTAATTTTCGTGATTTTTCCATATTTTGTCAATTTTTGAACTTTAAATGCTTATAAAAAAAATTGTGACTAAGGATTTTTAATATTTTTCATCTGCCTTTGAAACAACATATTAGGAGCCTTCTATTAAATTTTCAAGCTTTCGCAACCAACAAATAAAATTTTATTGAAATTTTTAGAAAAAAAACTAAAAAAAAATGGAAAATGAAAATGTCCCTAAACAGTTCAAAATAAATCAAAATATTTTGAAAATGTTATCGTGTATAGAAAATGCAAATATAAACAACCAGTGAAAATTTCATGTATATACGTTCATTTGTTTTAGAGTTACACCAATAACCAAAATCGATTTTTTGGAAAATCAATTTTGCGTAAAAATTCCCGTTTTTCCTTAATTTTTATGTTGTTTTTCCCGGCGCTTGTGAAAACTACTGGGAAATTTAAATTTTGACCTCCCCAATGCACCAACGATATTCACTTTCCAATCGAACAAGATACTGAAGTCGAAAATCGAAGCATTATTTCGACTACTTATCGTGTACACAGATACAAAAAAAATAAAAAAATAAAAAACACACATCATTGTAAAATCAATACATTCATCGTTTCACTCAGAATCTAAAACGTGGTAAGGTGTGTAATTTATCATTGTAGTGGAGGTAAAAGTTTTTGATTTACTGGCCTATAATATTGGGCTGTATAACACTTTGTATAATATTCAGTCATTCGCGTATTTAGAATATATAAACTTAAATGGAAAATAGTGTTTTTATGCATAATTTATTGTTAAGAATAAAGTTTTTTTAAGTTTTTTTTTATAAAGTTCATTTTTCATATATTAGGAACTAAGTAACCATTCAATTTTCAACTTAAAAATAAAACTATTTTCAACTTGAATTATCTTTCAATTTACCGAAGACACCATCTTTTTTCATACATTAAAAAAATACAAAAATTGGAGGCGTGTATAAAAATTTCACAAGACTTTTGATATATATTCATATTCATATAATATTAGTGCTGTCATATTATTCATACAAAATACACTATTATGTGTATTGTGTATATAATAATGATAATATTATGTAAGTGCTATTAAATGGGAATTTTTTTTTAAATTATTCAACTCATCATAATACTTGTTTAATGTTTATTGAGTGTGCTACTTAAAAGTTTAATTATTTTATAATTCAAAAATAATAACTACTTAGTTTTCAAATAGAAACCAGCGAACATAATATACACCAGATGAAGTTGACCCTTATGAATTCATGACGTGATGTCTCTATCTTACTAATAACGCTTAACATGGAGTCCAGAATCGTACTCAGAATTTTAGTTCGGTTAGGGTTTTATCTAAAATTAATCACAGACTCTTGAGATTCATCCCTATTTACATAATTTTTTTGCTATACAGTTTTTATATAATATAAGTTAAAACAAATTATGGAGTTAGTCTCAAATGTGGTCAACGTTTGGAGTATTTAACCCGGTAATTTATTCTACAGAGCCTTTATTTAGGCTTTAATAAACGTGAGAATAGTCGATGATACATGATACGACAATTGTGGCAGACGTTTAGCAATGTTCTTAATCAGCCAAAAAAAGAAATTTGAAACCATAATTCTCGATTTTATTGCCATTTTACAATTTATTATATATCTATTAAAAATGACTAACAATTAATCGACTCTGAGTATGGATTATGGTAATAAATGAGGTTTTTTTTTCGTAGAAGGAAGATATTTCAGGGGTGTTAGACTTAGAACCCAACCCCTACTGAGTCATGGTCAGTTTAACATTATGAAGTATCCTCTGTTTTACTCTGTCGTTTTTAATATTAGAACGAATTGACCTGTTATGATATTTAAATGTAAGAATATAAATATATAGGGCAATTCGGAAGTTCATTTCGATATTTTAATTTTGAAGCGAGTTATAAGCTTTTTAAAATTTGCAAAATTAATATCGTCCTACGTCTTCCAAGTGATGTTTCCGCGTCATGTTGCTGAATAATAGTCCAAGATCAATTTCAGCCAAATTAATCGGAGGTCTTGTCGTTTCCTCTTCATAAGTGGATTCCGTCCTGAAACACAATAGTAAATGTAATCTCGATGATTAAATAATAATATTATAATGCCAAAGTCAGAATAATTAATATTTTATATGTTTTACGTTCTAGAATGCAGCTCGGCGGGTTTTACGGAATATAACAAGTCCGCGTCAATATTTTCATCTGCATCCGGCAGTATAGGTATATCTGAAACTGTTTTAGTTAGAAATGTTAAATATGGTATTTTATAAAACCAGTATAAAATCGTATAGAACCTTGTAGTGAGTAGTGACTTAAATTAAACTTTAAAGTCATATTATTATATATATATATGATATTGCTTATAGTGACTATATAGAAACAATTTTATTTAAAATAATGTAGTTACAATTATAGTAAATTATGGTCTTGATATCAAATTAATTTTCTAATAATATTAACTAATTTTTTTTTTTAAATACAACAGGTATAATACAATTGTATACCTTCCACTGTATAGTATAAACACACATCTCTAGTTTTAATCATTGAGTATTATATACATTATGAACACTATTATAGTTTTTAATAATATTATAGACAACAGTAGATAATATTAAACTTAACTTGTAAACTATTATATTATATAACGAAGAGTATTATAACATTGCTTAATCCGTTTCAATTACAAGTATTGTTAATTGTATTATTGTTATTATTATTATTATTATTACATATAATAATATCATTAAAATATAATACATAACCTATTACGGCTATAATATATTATATTACGTACCTTAAAATCAATGATCAAAATTCAAAAATGCATTCTACAAGTAGTACTACCTACCAACGTCATACATAGACCTAAATAACCAATAATATATTATGATATGGTAAAATTATTTAATTATCGATTATAAATAATTATAATCTAAACAGTATACGTATATTATATAATATGTATAGACAGTTGGCTGTTTAAAAATGTAAAAATATGTTTTATGCTCATACATTATAATATGTAATAACATCATTAATAAACTGTCTCTCTATCCAATTAACACACATTTCAACCAATTACATAATAATACTTTTAATCGAAGCGGTTTGCATTCATCGCAATCATAATCATTACCATAGTAGGTACATAAGACCAGCTATATTGTATTGTTTAAATTACCATTGTTTATTTTTGTAGCAGTGTTGGAGCTTGATGATTTCTTTCGCGAACCAACAAAGTTATCGAATTTTCCTCTACAACAAAACAACACAGTGGTAACATTATCATTAAGCATAAAGTCGTTTTTATAATATTCATAACTGCATAATTTATTAGCAACGCACAGTAATTTATTGTTGTACGCAAAAGAAAACATTGAAATTTCTGTACTGTGCATTAGACATGGCACGGTGGTTAAGTCGGGAGGGGGAAGCTGCGATTTATGAATCATTAGCACCCAGCTCCAGATTGTAATTATCATTCTGTGAAATTATCTAAAAAGTGTACATTACACACTTTTCGTTTCATAATACGTCATGACGTATGTATACAATATACATGATATCATGTTATGTTATAAATCACTAGGTAATCAATAGTTGTAAGTAATAAACACATATAATAAAATAACAATATGCCGCTTGCAGCAAAAATAACCAATGAATATTATTAATCGAATAGAAAAATGTTCAGTGCACAAAATATTATAATAGGAAAAAAAATACACAGCAGAGAAAAATAATCGAACACACAAAACGGCTTCTAAGCTGCTCTAGTATAATGTTTAAATATAAACCCGAACATTTTGAAATCATTTAAAAGAATGGTGTGCGGGTAAAAGGGAATAAGTCAATTTTTCTAAATATAAATGTAGGTCATTTTAAGCTGAGTTGACTGGTGACACTGAAATTTGGTTATCTCATTCTTAGCAACATTATAAAGAAATATAGCCGAATTACAGTGTCACTAGTCAACTCATTTATAAAAATTTACTTATTCCCTTTTACCCGCTCACCGTCTTTAAAATATCTAATATCTCAAGTGACTGTAAAATTCTAAAATAAATAATTTAAAACACATCAATGTATCTAGAATTATTAAAAAGTTGTGAAAAATAGTTTCTTGTTCGTTACAGAAAACAAATAGGTAAGTTTTTATAATATTTTATTTGTTCATTATTGTTGAATTATTTCTATTTCCAATCTATATCAAGTAAACTATATCAGAAAAGAAAAATTGATGCCCAATGATATGAGGTTCACACGATTATAGAAAATAATATTGATATTATTTTAAAAATATAGGTACCTATATTATTCAGGGTTTAAAGAAAGACTTGGCAAAAAAAAAAAATGATACTATAGTTAAACGTATGACAAACATTATAAAAATAAGTAGGCTTAAGAATAGCTTAAGAATTATACTTATGTCAGGAAGTTCAAAAAAGGTGATTTTGGAAAAAGTTATTACGTTTAAAATTAAATTAGGCACTAAAAAAAATATTGATGTTTTAAAAAATTTTAAAAAAATAACTACTTGACTCAAATAAATGTAAGTCATCGAAATTTGTCAAAAATTAGATTTAAAAATTGGAAATTTTCTATACATTTAAAAAAAAAAATATTAAATATTGATGAGAACAAAAATCATTTAATTTGTTGGTTATTTTGTTACACACTGTATAGTGTATACCTCTACATAACTACATATTAAATAATAGGATAGTATAGTAATAAAATTATAGTAAGTTGTCTGTATATCTGAGTTGAAGATTTTTTTAATGGAATTGAGAATGAATAATAATTAGGTTAAAAGGTCTTTGAACCGTTTTCTTTTCAGTCGACAGATCGGTTAAGTCTAGAGAGGATCAATTTTATATGAGGCGAATTGAATGATTATGTAGGTAGTTTTTTTTTATAGAATCGTGTATAGAATAATTATTTATATGATAGGAAATTGTCATTATAGACGATTAAATTATTCTTATAATATACAATACAAAGTTATATTTTACTAATTAAATTGAACATTTTTATACAGTCTTAAGCATAAAATAATTGCGGTTTCAACACTAACACAATGTTTAATTTACGCGTCAAGAACGAATTACTGATAATGTACCTAGGTATACATTATCCCGGTAAGGTAAACAATACACGTCATACCCATATCTATAATTGGATAAAGTAAAAATATTATTTATCAAACTTTTATTTCGCAAATAATGATACCCGGGTGATTCGTATGATATTGTTTTCGACTGAGTAGGTAGGTAAAGTACTCACAATTGTTAAGATAAAAATTGTAGATATTAGATAATCATTTTCAATAATATAATGAAATGTAAGCAATTATAGTTATTTTAGAAGTTTAAGCCACAACAAAATTTTTTGAGTGAAAGAGTAATAATATTGTACAATCGTTTTCCAGTGGTGGACGTTTTTAAAAATGTTTATGTAAAAGTAAATGCTTATGGAATAAATGTAAATGCGAATATGGAGGAAGTCTTTGAATGTCTAGACGTCGCCCGAACTCTAATTTATTGTTTTAATAAATAATTGTATTTCGTTTTAGATTCTGATCGAAGCAATGCATGTATTGATTTTAAAATGTATTTGTTTTTTATTTTTATTTTTTTGTGTGTCAGACAATACATTTTCTAGTGGAAAAAATGTTCAACTTTGGTACACGTTTGACGTTTCTAGTAGCAAATTGGATCTAGTTAGTAGTTGCGGTAGGTATAATTAGGAAGTCAAAATTGAAAATTCTCAGTACATTTTGAAATAATCGGGTAAAACGAATACTGTTCGTAAATTTCAATATAATCATATTAAAACAATTATTTGGTATTTTTGCCGTTTACCAAAAAGTTAAGCCGTTATCGAATGTTTTTCTATAAATATCAATAGTAAGTTATTCGCTTGATCGAAAATCTTGAAAATTTATTAGGTAGGTACAAGCGGTTCTTAAAAAAAGTTTATATTACCTACTGGAGTTAAAAAATTAGGGTAAATCCACAATGTTTTATGTGTGAGCGCTTTGAAGATCGAATTTTGATGAATTTTGTTAAAACAGCGAAAATATAAAAAAAAAATTTTAATTTTTAATATCCATAACTAAGATTTTCAAATTTAATACAACGTTGATCATAAATTGTTATTTCTGGAATTAAATAAAAATGTGATCATAATTCGACAAATAGTTTAGTTAAAATATAAAAAAAATTAACCTACTGTAATTCACTAATACTCATGGTAAAATAAATTATTTTAAGAGTAATATCAAAACATTTTTATCATGAAATATACAATTGGGGTATCATAAGCTGACAAACCGTCTACGCACAGTCGTTTTTTGGGATTATACAACGATTTCTCATCGAATTCAAATTGAACTTATGATTCATTACAGTGACTTAAACTTAATGACGAGGTAAGCTAGACAAGTAGAGTACAGCAGAACGGTTAGCTATAGTTTTCTCTTTTTTTGTTTTTTCTTTTTCTGATTGATTAAAAAAAGTACTGAGAATTTTCAATTTTGACTTCCCCTACAATTAGACTCAAATTCATTACCAGAAACCTCCCTCGAAGTTGATGTTTGGTGTATTTTTTTCTGCTAGAAAAAGTGTCTTCAAACACAAAAATAAATAAAAACACACGTATCATTGTAAAATCAATACATTCTTCGCTTTTCTCTGAATCTAAAAATATTTCACCAACTGTTTCAAATAAATCGAATTCTACTTGTTTAGTTTTAATTAAATAGTAAAATTGTTCAAATATTAATTAATATTTTATTATTCTAGTCTAATAACTAATTTTTGTTTTAGATTAGTATGATTTGGTTTTTGATTCTAGAATATTATACGCAGTTTGAAATATGAACTCCGATATTAACCATTTGAAATATTTGGTGCGTTTTTGGTCTTGTTATCAGTTTAGGAATTTAAAATTTTAATCATACATTAATACAAATACTTTATTCACAACATACCGGCTAATAATGTATACATTAATGTATTTCTGCATTCGAATTGGTTCTCGATAAATAATATATGATATCGAAAAAAACATAGGTAATATAAAGAAAGGTGCTCTGCTGTACAGTAGGTTACAAGTGGGTCACTGTATATTGGATGGTATTCCATATGAATTCAATGATATTATATCATTGTATAAGAAAAACGATTCTGAGCGGAGACGGTATGTTCTTCTAGGTATAAGACTTATTATCTACTTATCTATGGTATTAAAAAAAATTGACCTATAATGAATTCCAAATTAATTATATCACAATATCCAGTAGGTACTTATAAAGCGTTATACACCAACAACAAACCCTGATACTATCATAGATATATAGTAGTATACTTTAAAAGTTTCAAGTACCCACGAATAATATTCAAATAATATTATACAATCACAACAAAATAACTAAAATAGTTATTCTAGGTTTTTTATTATGTAATTTCGTCCAAATTTGAACTTAAAATGACTATAAAAATAAAATTTGCTTTTGTATTTTTTAGATTTTTTTTGTAACAGAATTAACTACTTACGAGGAATCTTGTTTTAAATTTTCAATTTTTAGATATAAAAGTTCAACATCTTATACATTTTTAACTACAGAATAATTTTTCAATTTTAAATTTGATACATTTTGTCAAAACTCGATCTTTAAATGCTCATAAAAAAAAATTATGCATAAGGATTTTTAATATTTTTCATCTGCCTTTGAAACAATATACTAGGAGCCTTCTATTAAATTTTCAAGCTTTTTTAACCAACAAATAAAATTTTATTGATATTTTTAGAAAAAAAACTAAAAAAAAATGGAAAATGAAAATGTCCCTAAACAGTTCAAAATAAATCAAAATATTTTCAAAATGTTATCGTGTATAGAAAATGCAAATATAAACAACCAGTGAAAATTTCATGTATATACGTTCATTTGTTTTAGAGTTACACCAAAAACCAAAATCGATTTTTTGGAAAACCGAGTTTGCGTAAAAATTCCCGTTTTTATGTTGTTTTTCCCGGTGCTTGTGAAAACTACTGGGAAATTTTTACTTTTGACACCCCAAAGTACCAACTAGATTCACTTTCCTATCAGAAAAGCTACTGTTGAAGAAAATCCAAGGACTTTTACTGTCCTAAATCGTGATGACAGACACAAAAAAAAAATTAAAAATTAAAAAAAAAACACACATCATTGTAAAATCAATACATTCATCGTTTCACTCAGAATCTAAAACAAGAAATAGACGAATTAAAAAATTAATTACTAGTGGTATTTTATTATTAATTGCTACAATTATGACGACTACCGATTTTGTTAATAAAAAAATGCAAGTAATATAAACATTAAGGACGTACCTACCAATAATTTTATTTTTACTAAAAAAAAAAGTGGGTAAGTGGATGACGCTCTGCTGTACAGTAGGTTTACAAGTGGGTCACTGTTTAGATTGTATTAAATTTTTATTCAATGATATCATATCATTGCATAAGAAAAACGATTCTGAGCGGAGACGGTTTGTGAGTCTGGACATTGTTACTATTTATTATATCCTGTAAGTTGAATTTATATTATAATAGTTATTATTTTTTTTTTTCATTTCTTTGGCGATAAACAAATAGTAACATATTATAGTTTACTATTATAACTTACTTCATAGTTTCATCGACCCAACGACCAATTTTTGACTTTGCTCGTTCAGCCTGTTATGAAAATATAAATATAATTTAAGTTGGCTACGTATAATAAACTTAAATTGTAAATTGTGCCTGAAATCACTAATAATATCACAGAATAATTTTTTTAATTAAAAAAAAATACTATTAGTTATCAATTTATTGAGTTTAAGTATTAAAATATCTATCGTACTGTGAAGAATAGGACCCAAATAAAAAATATTTTATCTCTTAACTTTTAATACATAATAATATGATGATTCGTTAGTTTTGATTTAAACTGTAAAATTGAACTAATTTAGTCAAAAAACAATTATTATTTTCAATTAAACATCAACCCTTATAATTACAATAATGCAACAGAACCGTATAAATATTAAATCATAACATAAATCACCCATCTACTATACATAAATTTAAATTTTACATTTTTAATAACGTATTTCAATATTACATTAAAATTACCTTAAATTACGTACCTACCTTATTAGAGGAGGTACCTTGCGAGTATACCTACCAATAATATAATTACCTATATAGAGTATTTGTACAAATTTAGTGTATAGGTATAAATTATATTTTGATCACGTCCAAACGTTCAACAAATACAATTTTATAATATATTCCAAAAACTTTGCTCGCACAGTCGCACATAATTGTATATTGTATCAACCTTATTATTATCTTGGTAAGGTATTCAAGTCAATCGCATTCTATGTATATAAGCAAGTACAACAGACATGCGTGGTACATGATTAGATATTGTGTTGCCTATTGTAATATAGGAAACGCCGATCATAATAATATCTGTATTGATAAAATTATTATATTTGTAATCAATGATATCGGCAACGAATATAATATTATAATATATAATATTTATAATACTATGTCAAATCTTTAATCGTGCCCCAGTTTAATTTTATAGCCATGTCAAAACCATTGACATAAACCCTGTTAAATATTAAACTGCATAATATAACGTACATACTGAGTACCTACTGGCTACAAGTAGCCGCTACTGCATATACAGGAATAATATCGGAACATAATAATATTGTGATATTAAACGGAAACAAAGCCCCTGATAAGAACTCCACGAATTTTTATTTTCTTGGAAGGTAAATAGCTGTTAATAAACAATATCAATTACCCAAAATTAAATAAAAAGTATATTAAGCAAATTTATATATATACCTATATAGTTGAAAACAAGTAATTTTTTAATGAATCTTCAGACAATCATTTTACAAAAGCAAATTTGATAAATATTTCATTCTCCCTTTTTTTTCTAATCAGATTAAAAATATATTAATGCTTATTTTATCTTATTATTGAATGGCTCACACACATAATATCTTAATTGAGTTTGAATGCGCTGCCTTTTGTGAAGTCTTTTATAAGTCGATTGTACAATTTAACTCGGCGATAAAGACTAAAATCTTAATCGCCATTACTATTAAGCCGGCATTGCAGCGCAGATGATATTATCTATTCAAATTACTATTATTCCAGTTTGACTATTAGGTATATTATATAGGTAGTGAGTAGTGACTGACCAAAAAAAATTTATCTTAATGTATTATAGTTGTTTTCAGTTAGGACACATTATTTTCAATTACGGCATAATAATATTGTGTGTATCGCATTACGATTATCGAATAGACTGTATTATAGTGTGGCGTTAAAATTTAAGCTTAATAGTACGAACTTTTTTCACCATTTGACCACTTCAAAATTCAGAGCCAAAATACAATAGACTCTCATTAACTCGAATCTAAGGGGAAATAAAAATAAATTGAACTTGTGTATTTTTCGAGTTATATAATACCTCAAACACAACATCAGATCTAGACTACAAGGGGTGAGAAAAAAATTCGAATTATCGATGTTTCGAGTTATTGAGGTTCAAATTATCGAGACTTGACTGAATTGGGGGTAATTAAGTAATTTTCAGGAAATATTTGTCATTTCTAGTGATGCGCATTACTATTCTTATCTATGGTGATGCGTACTGGCTTAGGCTTTCCATTCGGGCGAATGTAAGTTTCCACACGAGATATAGCAGGTAAAAATCACACCCAGGAATGCATACGTAAGTTCCCACAAGAAAAAAATTACATCCGTACGTAAGTTCCCAGTGCTCTCACACGAAAAAAAATTACACCGAATACAAACTTCCTTCCCACTTTATTCAGACTTAGGACTGGCAACTTAAATGTAATTGGTTGGGTTAAAATTTGTTTGTTTTTGTGTTGCATAAAAAAAGTACAATCAATTTTTTAATTGAATCAAGTCCAAATATATAATAAAAATTAATAATATAATGTGTAGGTATGGTTAACATATTATTTGTATAAGTAGATATAAAATAATAATAGTTATAATAATAGTAATAGAAAAAATTAAATTTTATTTGGCTTATTGCGAAAGCTCAAACCCTTTACATAGTCATATTGTGTAATTATTTTTAAGTTTTAATCTGATATTTTGTTATTGATATAGTTTCCCCCCTAGTATTTGGGCTAGTGCTAGTTCTGATACAAGTCTTACTACTATCGCTCCCGAAAGTACAAATAATATGTGGACCTACACATTATATTATTAATTTTTGTTATATATTTGGACCAACTATGTTTAAGTTGTCAGTCCTAAGTCTGAATAAATTTTCGTGTGGGCACTTACGTACGTTTGTAATTTTTTCCGTGATGGAACTTACATATGTACCCACTTACCTGCTATGTTTCGTGTGGGAAGTTACTAAACCCCTTCCATTCGCACTGATTTTGAGGTCCAGCCGTCCCGGGTTCGGTTTGTCCCGGTTAATAAAAGGGAAAACGATAATATCTCAACTCCAAATCTACAAGTAATTTTGCAGTATATCTATTGCACATCAGGAACTTCATCTGCTCCAGTAGAAAGAGTCTTCTCACTTATGAATAACTCTCGGTCGGATGAAAAAAGTAGAATGAATGAAAATACAGTAGGTACGAGGCCTGATATGGTGTGTAAAATGAATTTTGATTCCTACCTGTTAACGAATTTTTCGGAAAAATGAAAAACGTTACAGCTATATTGAAAAAAATATATTCAAGTGAAAAGAGAAATAATCAATAGATAAAGTAAAATAATATTAGATTAAATTATTTCCGCAAAAGGGTAAAAAAAAAAATATATTATATCTATATTATGATATAGGTGGAAAAAAAATTTTCGATATCATATTAGCACCAGCTTTGGCATTTCAAAAACTGGCAACCATATACCTGACCGCGGGTATAACCTATATTATTCCGTACAGTACATCATTGCGAAGTCGTCCGCGATTCGCCTTAGCAGTTGGCCATCGAAAGGCTATAATAATCGATAACGGCCGGGCATATGCATTTATTTGCAATATAAGAAACGTAAAAGACATTATAGTCCATTTCCGTATACTTTTAAATATATATGTATATATATATATATATATATATAGGTACCTATGCAGCTGGTTCACATAGCTTATATACTGCAGATTTGTTACGAGCTGTCCTCCTTCTTTGGGCCCGGAGGGCGGTGATAAACTTACCACGAAATAAAAACTTTATCTATATTGTGTTTTTGGCTTTTGCCTCACGTACCATATATATATATATATATGTGTGTGTGTGTGTGTGTGTGTGTGGACTTGCCAAACCACACGGAATAAATAAACAAACGATGAAACTTTGCGCCGCTGTGCCCCCGAAATTGTAGCTAGACCTATAATATTATGTGGCCGTGTTTTCGTGTAAGTATATATATATATATAAATATATTGTTTAAGTTGAATGTACGGTTGTAATAAAAACTAATAATATATAGGTAGGTACCTATGTATCAAAGCATTTACTCTGCGTAAAAGTTTGGAAAGCACGTCTTATGGAATTTCGATTTTCTGCGGGAATCTTTGAATAAAAACACTAATTCTCTCCCCCGTTATATATGCTACCTATTATCTACACATTATCGTCGCTTACAGTCCTTCGAGTTACGCTAGGTACGTCATAATTAACCAAAATGTACGTTTTTTGCAAGCATATTGTAATGTAAACTGTACGGGTGTGTATAAAATCTAAGGTAAAGGTACTCACGGTCATTATAGTTGATAACAAAAACAGCGGAACTATAATATGATATAATATACCATAGTATCACCGATTACAACACTAAACACTTCAACATAATTACGGTGTCTGGTGATCGCAATAGACACTGATAAGAAACATTTAATCGTACATTATAATGTAAAAAAATACATAATAGTGTTCAGACCGCAGAGACAAATTTTAACAACAATCGGACTAGAAAAAACTAACACTATATTGTTATATCATTACAGTTTGATAAGACGTAGAGCTGCAGTATCAGTACTTGTTGTAGCTATAATATAATATTTCATACACGCTACCAAGGCAACAATACACACAAAACATAACAAACCTGCACTGATGGTTACCACACATCTCCGCACAGGTGAAAGGATATTTCAAGGTCGACAGGACTACCCATGGTATACCTAACTGTATAAGTGATGCCTATAACACTTATACCTACAGTTGTAACCGGCGTAACGTGGATACTGATATATATATACATATTGTTTTATTTTAATTTTATATTATGTTAATAATAATTACAATATACAAGCTAAGAAGCCCAGAAACCAAATGAGACGTAGATAATAATAGTTATTATACATACATAGATAATATTGAAGTAACATATTATAATAATAATATATAGAATATACAGGGTGATTTTTTAAGCACGTTCACTCCGATTTTATGTTTGCATTATGAAAAATAGTATAATATATTCAAATTCTGAGTTTTGACATTTTTAAGTGTAGTTTAAACCGATATTTTCAAATAGTTAGATTTTTCTAAACATTCGAGGAGTATCCACTGTTTATTTTGTAATGCGATTTGTGAATCAGATGATTTTTCCCAAATTTTTTACGTTCTGTAATCAAAAAAGTTTCTGAGTTTGTTCTACTTTAAATACTAAGGATAACAGTATAATAAAATAATATAATTTACTTATGTTTTGAAAATTATTGAATGCAATATTAATCCAAAAGCATTTTTTTAATATTAAAAAAATTATCTGAGTATATTTGACTTGATATTATCAACAAATATTTTATATTGTATACAGTATACTTAATTATAATTACCCAGCTCGTATATCCGTTTAAAAAGTATTTAAATATACTATTAACTTTAGTAGGTACCTATTTAATTTATAATAACTCAGAAACTTTTTGTTCAAATTTCGATTACAATAGGTAGGTAAAAAATTTTCAATTATCATCATCTGATTTATAATTTGCATGTAAAACATGTGGGATCTCATTTGAAAAACCAATATTGGTATCGCCACATAATATACTCCTTAAATTTTGTGAAAAATCTAAGTATTTTAAGACTTTAACGTCTTAATAACTCCACTTAAAAATTCCAAAACTCAGAATTCGAATATAAATAATTTGGAATATGGATAATTTAAACATAAAATCGGGGTGTGCTTAGTGAGCATACTTAAAAAATCAACCTGTATACATATAATAATAAGTAATAATTTTATATTATATTAGTATATTATTATATATCTGTTAGTTATTAGCTTGGTCATAGGTAGATAATAATAAGTTTGAATTAAATCTGGACCAAATTTTCTACCATATTAAACTTACCAAACCCATCATATTGTGTGCAAATAACGGCGTTAGATACAAATGTATAAACTGTGCTTATACTTTTATAGACATTATACTATTTCAAATTTTCAACGACAACATAGTCCTGTAGACAATTATGTACAATTATAAAATGAAAAGAATTTGTATTTATATTGAAATTTCTACGTACATAAATTATTATATTTCAACCGTATAATAAGGTTTTACAATAGTTCAGAATGAAATAAGTTGTGTAACGTTTAAATTAGTTATTAAATCTGTAATAAGGATAATATTTAGAAGAATTCTGGTTAGAGATTCGTTATTAGAGTGATCGCCATAGGTGATTGCCATAGGGAAAATCGATATTAATAAGGAAAATAATTAATTTTTTTTTTAGCCATGTTGTAATTGACTGTAGTTGACAATTAATGAGGAAGAGACCAAAGTGACAGAAACCGCCTCCGCATTTGGCTATGATACACGGTGGACTTTGATTGAGACCTAAATAGAACGAGTGTTTGGGAAGTACAGATAATAGAATCTGGCACAACCAAAACCTAAGGTATTTGATTACAATATAATGACTTTCATCTAGGGCTTAAAACCATTGTTGGTCGGAAATGTTCGGTAAATTTGTTTGCATAAAGAGCTGGCGTATGACAAAATATAGATGTTTGCTCATTCAACCTTTGAATGTATTCGGTTTGTAATAGGTAGACATTATGGAAACATAATTAGAGCGTAATGGTATTTTCCTTATCTCAACTTCAAATAACTGTTACCATCAATACGTCATATTATATTTTCTGATGCGTTTTTTTTACAACGATATGAATATATCAAATAACAAATTAATTATATTACAAAAAATAAATAGGTGAACCATTATAAAATATAACCACCATAATACAATATAATATGAATACTATATCATAATGTACCACAGATCACAATATTACAGTATGGTTTATAACGTAATATAATATTTATAATTAGTGTAAAACAGTTTTCCGATAACCATAGACTGTAGTCATACCGAAGCAAGAATTTATCATGGTTCAAGAGGAGGGAGTCAACAATTTTATCAAGCCGGTAAAAAGAAAAAGAAAATATTTGAAAGGACTTGATCAGAATATTTGAAAACATTTTTAATGGATATTCTTTTTTTCATATAGTCAAAAAAAATAAAATAGTATAAATAATATTATGGTAATAATAAGTAAATTTTCAAAGGAGGTGACAAAAAAATATTTGAAAGAAAACTTTTGAGAAACATTTTTTGCCCAGTGACCTGGAGTGTACAACATCAGTCTATGAATGCCGTTTTAAAGTAGAAAAAATGACGACCTGTACAAACATATTGTAGGTACCTATACGAATCAAGTGAACGTGGAATGGTTTGGACATATATGGATTATGGAGGGCCGATGATGATATCATATTAACAGAGGTCCTAACTGAAACGATAAATATAAATAAGAGACCACTATAATAGGTAGACAGTGAACGAGATGGAAATATGCTGTAAAGAAGGATATTTGGAAGGTACGCGTATGAAAGCGATACTTAAATTGGCATTCAACAATTAAAAATGGAAAGGATTGCTCGTAGCAGTTCAGTTTCATTAAGTTCAGAAAGAAGAAGGAGAAGAAGAAGAATAAACTTACAGTGGAGTGAGGATGAACCTTACCTCGGACATCACATAATATTTACCAACATATGTTATAGGATTATGGTAGCAGTATAATGGGACGCAAGTAGTTTCTACCAAATTTTTAAGTTGGATCTTCAATAGGGGGGGGGGGTCCATTCCTCCCGGCGTTGAGCACACCCCTTATCCCTAATATACAGATCTATTTCGAGATAATAATATATTAAACTTTGTTACCTACCTTCTATTTTCATTTCGTACTGTTGCTCGCGTATAATTGAGTTCATTTTCACCGATGTCTTTTGAAACGCCGCTATGGCATAATTTTTTTTGAAGTTTAATCACACGCGCGCCCACCCATCTATCCACAAATACTAACAAAAAATTCTACAACTATTAATTTAACTGTGACATTCGCCCAGTAGCGGATCCAGAAGTCACACAAGGGGGGGGGGACGAATCTTCAAAAATTAAATTGTCTTTTCGTTTAGCCAAATATTATATTAGAAAATAACGTTAAAAATACAGCCCAAGGGGGGGGGGGGCAAACGCCCTTTCACACGGTTTTTCGTAATTTGTCGGTAGTTTTTCCCTTGGCATTAAATAACTATTGAGAAAATCCAAAAATAACCTTTTCAAAGTACCATTTTGATCCAATTTTCTAAAAGATAAGATACTATATGTTTAAATCGAAGCACTCCTTCTGGTAGAAATGTTGTATAAAGGATAAAAATAAATAAATAAATAAACACCATTTATTGGTTGGTGAAAATAATAGCTATTGTAATTTATACCAAAATTTAAAATTTGTGTCATACCCTTTAACAGTTTATCGATTATGTAAACAAAATTTTATATTGCTGATTTTGAAATATTTTAGAATTTTAGCATTTGCAGGCCATATATTTTAAGATTTTGTACACTTTTGAGCATATTTAGGATTTTTAAGACATTTTCAACTTAAAAAGGTGGGTAAGTGGATGTCGCTCTGCTGTACTGTAGGTTACAAGTGGGTCACTGTATGATGGATGGTATTAAATTTGAATTCAATGATATAATATCATTGTATAAGAAAAACGATTCTGAGCGGAGGCGGTATGTCAGTCTAGGTATAAGACATATTATATACTTATTTATGGTATTAAATTATATGGAATTTATGAATAAATTATTCATTGCCCCTTAAAATATGCACAGTCTTATCATTGAGCATACTTCTTATTCCTTATACTATGGTAGATTGTATGGATAGGCCATAATGTGTTGATTTTTCAGTTTCATATATCCCCTAATAATATTTTTAAATTACAACAAAAAACCAAGATCGTTAATATTGATTTTAATATGTAATTTCGTCCAAATTTGAATTTAAAATGTCTGTAAAAAATAACTGTGTTCATATATTGCATAGATTTTTTGGTTACAGTATGAATTATTTAAGAGAATCTTTGTTTTAAATTTTCAACTCTTAGTTATAAAAACTGAACATTTTATAATTTTTTAATTCCAACGATTGATAATTTTCGAGATTTTGATAAATTTTGTCAAAATTCCAACTTTAAATGCTTATAAAAAAAAATCGTGCCAATGTATTTTTAATATTTTTCAACTGATATTGTAACAATATATCAGTAGCCTTGTATTAAATTTTTACACTTTTTGGCCCAACAGATAAAACTTTATTGATATTCATAGAAAAAAAAACTAAAAAAATTGAAAAATGAAAATGTCCGTAAACCGCTCAAAAAGAGTCAAAATATTTT